TGAGCTGGCCAAAGGTCGCTCACCACCCTGACCTGGTTTTCCACTTGCCTTCTACCGGGAATCCATTAAAATCCATTACATATTTGTTTGTGGGTGTGTCCTGCCTCCAGGTTCCTACACCACGGCCACAAACAAAACGTGTCCCTCCCACCTCCGCAGTACCGCGCGCGGCAGGCGCTGCAGAAGCCGTGCGACTTCCCATGAGTGGCGGAGGGGGTTGGACCGTGGTGAGCTCCTTGTGGTATAATTAGGCTATAGTATACCACAGTTTGAAAATAACCCTTGCCTAAAGGCTTAAGAAGCACACTTGCACTTATGAACCAACCAAACCAGGTAGCAGTTTGTAGACAGTAGTTGGGGGAGGTTTACGCACGTGATGTTGGGGCATATGTATTTATAGACATGTGGTCACATGTATTTAGGAGGAGTGGAGCATTTCGTACAAAAACACTTAAAACAAGAAACACGATCTACCGATGAACATGACACAACAGCGATTTTCTGACACCCTGATGTTACACAAGGCACATGTTTATAAACTCTGTGGTGGGGTGACAAGTCGTCATTTCATTACATCGTGTAACTGTGTTCCGCAACATTTGTGCTGTATATTATGTATTGGTTGCAAAAGTACATAGTTCCGGGAAACGAGTTTACATAATAATTGCGATGATTGCAAAGGACCGAGAATGAAGGACAGCGTTTACTAGGATCATTGGAACTTGGTCAAACCTTTGATACATAGGCTCTATTATTGTTTTCGGATGTTGGTTCAGTGTTTCTATAACAAGCCACCGGCTATAGACCTAGGCAAGAAATATATCGAGCGAACACTTGACCGCACTGGGTCGTCATTTTATGATAGACATGTTTATTGTTCAAAAATAGGCATATATAGGTGCCTTTTTCTTTGTAAGATGTATAGCCAACTCCGGCATCATTGAGGAAGGAGGATGTTTAAACATGTTAAGAGTATGGTGAATTCAACGGAAAAATATTCCCGGTGCACCTGAGAATGCTGGGTGGAAGGCATAACTTTCATACACAGCTGCCTGCTATCACATATCACATATCTCGACCATTTTCGAGGCTGAATCACTGCCCATCAGAACGCGCTTTGCCGGAGAATGGCTTTGTTATATGCCCAAGCAATCCATGATTATCCATGTATGGAAGCAACTAACTATTTTCCCTTAGAGATGTCTTCAGGATCGTAAGTAATCATTCCATACATGGATTGTTGGGGAGGATTTGTTTCGGCTTGCCCTTGCCTTACCCACTTGGCCCCCTTTGAGAAGCTGACAGACGATTCAGCCTCCGAGGCTATGGCATCTCTGCGGGCTTGGTGACAGCCACCCCAGCCTCCATTGCCCAAGCGGCCAGTTTGGTCCAGTGACAGTTCGAGTGTCGCAGACACGGTCGAGTGGCCAAAAGCATCCCGAAAAGTAATGGGAGTGAGTGTTGCTGGTGCTTAGGAGGAAGCGACTGAGTGTCGCCGGAGGTATCCATTTTCCCCTTTATATAATGTAGACTCTTGGGTAGTAAACCCACCCCAATTGGATTGAAAAGGCTTTGCCTTTGGGGGGAATATGAATCAAGAGTCTACATTAATAGCCAGCAACGAAGCTTCAGGGAGTTCACTAATTCACCACCTGCTATAGTTCAATTCAGGATCCACTCGCTTCAGGTCCAAAAAGCTCTTTGGAACTCGTGGTGTGATGTGAATCCTTTCTATAACCCAAAGACTCCATGGGACTGGTGTATATGCCTACATTGACCCTTGAAACCACCCCAATGTATGCTAATAATTGCTACTACGTGGAGTGTTCGAGCAACAGTTAGATAGAATTAGAGTATGAATTGCCTCCGCGTGTCCCGCGTGGCCTCCATGGACTCAGTTTGGCTTTGTTTTTGCTTCCAGCCAATGCCAGAAGGTGTAGGATTCTTTTGCCTCGTTGGTTGGACATATAATTGCTGTAAGTATCTTGCCCCAAAGAGTGACGAAAGTATGTATTTTGCCTCTTTGTAAGTATCTCTAATTATCTTGCCCCAAGTGATGAAAGTGTCACTGGGCCGTGCCCACAAAGGGAAGGGCAGTTCCCAACTGCCGGCGTCAACGAATGCGATTTGCTGCAAGTTGTTCTTTACTCGCTCAGCTGAGCTCCTGGGATTCGCTGTGTTTTCTGCGGAGCTCGCGTGCCAATTGATGTGTGAATGCCGCGATTCGGTGTCACCGTTGGTGACACCAAGCACGAAAAGGATATGATCAAGGATCAGAAGATCACCAAACTACGGATGGAACAAACAAGCAGAACAAAAAGCAAATCTATGCAAATCTTACAAGATAATATGCCACTCTTATCTACTCTTTGTTTCTACATATGAATGTGCACTATATATTTATGTGTGTTCATATACATAACACAATACATACTGCTGATGATACAAAGTTATTATACCTCCATGACACTCATACAACTTTGGTGCTAACCTTTACCATCGCGTTGATCGAGCCCAGCCACCTCAGTAGTGTCCCACCTACCCTGAAAGAGGGTCCGACTGCCCCGATACGACCGGGTTCTTGGCGCCCCCCTGGCACCCACCCAACCGTCCCGCCGAACCGAAACAGGAGGTAGTTGAAGTGGTACCCCAGTAGCTTAGGCTTCCAAAAATAGACTCTTGGAGACCTATATTTGCTTGGACAACGGGTTCCACCGTGTGAAATGAGAATTGTTCTTGGACCCTGGCACAGGTGACACTTCGGTGTTGAGAGCTGGTTTTTGCCCTGCGACTGCAGGGTGATGCACCAAAAACCTCATGGGCCCATGGGCCCAGCCAATGCCGTAAGCGAGCGACCAGGGCTCCAGCACCCCAATGTGTTTGAGATGTTTTGAGGATGTTGTTTGAGTGGGATGCGCGGATAGGGCAGTTGTTGGTTTGTTGTGCCAGCTGCGTTGATTTGTAGGCATTCCTTTCTTTTTTCCAGACAAGTCTGCAGGATGTTGCTCATCGAAGATAGTGGATGTGTGATCTTCTCATCATTCTTGCTTTGACTTTATGCTTCAAATTCAGATGCATCATCGCAGGGTCAGAACGTTGAGATAAAGAGTGTGGTGTAGCCACCTTTGCTTGGAAACCCATTGTGGAGCTTAGCACCTGAGCTGTCAATGCATGACAGATCATGACAGAAGCAGCTTACGGAATTGTGTTCATGCGGCAGTTGTTTTCTCAGATGAATTTAAATCCGTTCTATGTTCTACGTACATACATGGTTTCGGCACCACGATTGAAACAAGCAAGAAAGTCCTGACCCAACAGCTGTGAGCAACCAGCAGCTACTGACAAGTGCGCTACTTGCTGAGATAAACAGAGTATCCCATTACCCGGTTTGGAGGGTTATGGGCTTAGGAGGATTGGGAGGGTTAACCACTGCTGCGACTCTAGCTGTTTATACCTTATCCTGCTGATTTTCTCCCATTCAATAGGGTCTCCAATACGCACCCTGATCCGACATGGAATTCCTTGCACTCAGCAGCTATTCTTCTATTTCTTCCACCAGCCCAACCACTCTGATGCTATCGCCTCGCTCTCGCTATGGCCTCGCTGTACGGCCGGGATTTGGTCGGTTTAGTCGAATTGGTGCACGTCGACTGCAGACGTGCCGATACCACCGATGCCCCCAAACAGCCCATGTGTTTGTGGCTCACAACCTAGAGCTCGCTTCACCCTGGTAGGTTGCCCGAGGATCAGTCGTCTATTCGGTTCATTTGACCAGTGGGAAATACCAGGGCCCCCCGGTGCCATGACGTGGTCGATGTTCGGTCGCAGGCTTGGCGTCGGAGACTGTTCGGTCCACCATCCGTGAAGACGAGGATGGCAATGAACGAGGGGCGCCCGAAGACAGACAACATTTGGTTCTAAGCTCAACAAGGGAAGCCTGCTCTCGGTTCTCAACAGTCAACCCTTTGAAGAGTCCCAGCGGTCTCAACTTTCTTGAACAGATCAATCCAAAAAGACTGAAACCATCCAGAACTCCAAGGTCTCAAGGGTCTCTTCTCATTTTCTCTAGGTTGTGCACAGGTTCAACTGCCCTTTTGTTGTTTTTGCGTTTCGGCTTTGAGGCCTCCCGAGCGAAGAGCACCCGCAGAAAGAGAGGGAGCTTCTTGGTGGCAAAAGGCAAGGAAGACATCACGAAGGAAGGACCTGTACAAAGCCACGCCTTGAATCTTGAACGATGGGACTGTGAACCACTTCTTGAAACCAGTCCCATCGTGGTGGGTGTTTGGCGCGAGATTTGCTGTTGGATGTGGCTGGAAGAATCATTCTTTGTCTTCAATGAAAACAGGGACAAACAAAGGTGCTTTGCGAGTCTATTTTCAGTAGGTCCGTGACGAGCTTTTTTCATCAAGGGTTACAGCACGTTACAGCCATCCACAGCCACAAGTGGATTTGGGCCCCGTTAATGAGCAACTCAGAAACCTGGGCATCTCCATCCCTGCCCTGCACAATCTATGTCGTTGCTCATGCATTAAGAAGATTGCCTATATAATCCATCGTATTTTAATCGTATATACAAATAATATATACTATATATATGACTATAGCAATCTATAGCGGTGGTTTGATGGTGGTAAGCACGCCGAAAAGAAGGCTGGGCAATGTTTCCTGAGTGGTCTTGTTCATCACACACCTACAAGTTTACAACGGAGGTTAAGCATGGACACATGCTAAACACATGTGATGGGGCTATCAAGTTATCATCACTTACAGGTCCCAATGTGTGATGCGCTTCCCCCCCGCTCTTTCATTCACATACTTTGACTCACTATTGGCATAGCCGCGATCTTCTGGGCGCTCAAGACACAAAATATGGCCCCTTTTAACTGTTGTTCCCACCTCGACGCAGTCCCACGACGCCGGGCGCACCGTCCCAACGACGCCAAACCGTCGTCGCCCTCCCAGGGTTGGTTCACCGAGCACGGCGGGCGTGGACGCCTTGGATGAGGAGAAGCAGAATGAGACTGAGAACGATCACGAGAACGGCGAGGTGCCACCGGGGTGCCACTGGTAAGTACTGGAGCCGATGCTGTTCGACCCTGGACACGGGGGCCATTGGGATTTGCTTGTTATGCTACTGACGCACTTAAAAAGATGTTTTCAGGGATTAGCAAGGGATCTAAGACAGGCCAGTGAAGTGTTTGAGGTGGTACACAGTAGTTATATTATGTTATATTCTTTCTTGGGTGTAGTAGGGTTGGTACTTCTGGTTAAGTCGCATCATAAATCTCCAAAAGCTCGGCCGAATGCGCCGATGTCATTTGGTTTCATTCAGCGGCCCTGTGATGATAGAACACTTGGCTGGGAGTAGGTGCCAGATTCCATGCTTTACTTTACTTTCTATGGCTGTGTGAGGAAGACTTGTTGGCTTCCAGCCATGCAATCCACGTGAACAGTCCAAACATAGAAAATGCCTATGGCCCGACTAGGGCGACTGTGGGCCGGATCATCCACCGGACCAGTGACGCCGGAACGCACATGAGTGAAACTCAGGCCGGACCGAAGACACACTCCGACTTGACGACACCAAGCAGATTGGGACTGGCAGATTTGATACTGGCTTCAAGAGGTTGTAGGCATAATTGATAGATTATATCATATAGGGATCCATTGTGAAACATCAACACACTATCACACTGGAAGTCAAACAGCACCTCCAGGGTGTCGCAAAAAGAATGCCCTGAACGTCTAAGACGTTCAACAAATTGTTTGTGACCCGATTTCAAGAACTCTTTTTTCTTCGGGCGCAGGACATCTTGAACACTTCACTGGCACCACCATGGAATTCCATTGATTCCTTTTGTTCAGGTGAAGTGTTTGAGGTGGTTCACCATCATGGTGAATTGAACTTTTGGAATTCTATTTGATTCCTTTTGCAGACACTCCATGGGAGTGGTATATTCACTGTGCCTGCATTGGGGCTGGTTTTTAAGGGCCATGGACAGGCATACATGTTTCACATGCATGCAACCTACATTGATCCCTTTTCAACCACCCCCTGGCCATTTTTTCAGCGAATAGGCCGGTTTCAGAACAGGTCATGGAAATGGATCCGAAAGCGTACCACCAGGATGACCTGGGCGCCACGTTGCCAACACGGGAGGGGATGCCCCCCGTTGGCTCCCATGAGGGCCGTGGCCTACGGGGCATTGCCCTGCGCCATGCCTCATGCAGCTCGGAGGAGGTATCAGTGATCAGTTTGGTTGATGCCACAGACTTGTTCAGGCTCCAGGTGCCTCAGAAAGCCTTTTGACCCTGCAAACCTACCAAGCCCCTTCAACAAGGAGGTACTTGGAGCTCCAGGATGAGGTATTTTCTTTCTTGGAAGGATTGATGCATCTTTCATGTGCAGCAGGGTCCCTTGCATTATAATTTGTAAGTCACCAACCTTCCCGCTTTCTTTCTCCTTTCTCCTGCAAGTCCCCTAAATTCCCCTAGAACTGGTCAAGACAGTAGGCTAACCGGGCTCAGACCCTTTCTTAGCAGCCCAAGGCTTCAGTACTGGATTGTGGTTCTCATACCATGAAACATCATGAACCTCCAGACATGAACATCATCAACATTGCTTTGATGAGGGAAGGTCTCTTTCTACAGTGGTTGGTGCTCTAACAGTTCAACAGGGGCCTTCACTGAACGGTTTGTAATCTTCTTGCGACCCTCTACCTTACTGCCTGCTCCGCCTTCGCCCTTTCGTTTGTTTTTATGCTGCAACGCTCGTTCGCCCAGAAAGACAGATGCCCGCCCTGACATCTGGGCGGCAGGAGAGAGGACAGATGCCCATCGGTTGGGGTTGGGGTTAGATCTCTGAACTAACATGGAAGTGGAGTTCACCACCACCTGTTCGTAAAAGGACAGTCATCTTCCATGTAACGAACCATGCCATCCACTTCCATGTGAATGCATTCGTGGAGGCACTATGCTGCCCGATCTCTGAGGCGCAGCACTATGCGCCCGAGATGATGTCCTGCAATCTCGTGGGATTGCCCTCGGAGGACCGGAGCCACAGCAGGGGCGGCGGTTTGGAGGGTGGGGGATTGGGGTGGGCCAGGGTCTAGGAGAGAACGATCCAGAGTCTTTGCTCATGTTGCCCCAAAGCATCAAGTTTAAGAGAGGTCTTCAAGCTGTCGGACTTTTAAAGGAGAGAACCCATGGAGAACGACCCAAGAAGGTCTTCACGGGTGCTTCGTTCCCCAAGACCGGCTGGTGCCAGCAGGAAGGAGCGACTGAGTGGAGCAAAGGAGGTATCCACTTCTACCCTTTCTAAATCGGGAGATGTTCACTTGCTAGGTCTTGCTAGAAAAGGTGGTGGTCCTTGAACGCCTCAGAGGTTGCTTAAGGAAGTGATGGGACTGGTTCGTGAAACTGCTGGTCTGTTCATCTCAAATTCATGGGACCCGCCCAGGGCACACAACAAGCCAAACACCTTTCAAAACGACGGCTGGAAGTTCACGGTTGCACTGTCTTTAGGGAGAAGTTCTCCAGAAACCTACCTCATGGATGTTCACCCTCCAGTAGTTGATCTTTTGTCCATTAACTCGATTTCCAAAGCATATGATTTGCCGGACATCAGCAGTTTCACCTGCAGTGGACTTGTATCGGTGGCTGAGATATGTTGAGGGTCGATGTAGGAGTCCACCATCCAGGACATGATGCAAGAAGGCTATGAAGCTCAATGGGGACCTTCCGGTCGAAACGACTTGGGGTTGATGAAGGCTGGCTGCTGCAGATGCGGTTTAGCCGGTTGGGTTGGGGCAGAGATCCTCTGGGATGGGCGGCCTGTTCTGATTTTTCGGCCCCAGCATCATCTTGGTCTCGCGGATGTCGGGGTGTTTCCCAAATCCGCCTGTGACTTGTAATGAGGCACTCTGTCACATGCCGCCCTTTCGAAAGACTCCTGAAATCAACCCCGAGGCCTGATCAGGCCGATCTTCCAAATGGTTTGCCTCTTCTTCATCCATAAATCCAACCCCAATGGTGGAAGTTCTGCATAGACAGTTCAAGTATTTCTTCCATGATTTTGGCATCAATATTCCATGGAAGGTATTCTTCCATGCCATTCATCCAGACCTCGGACTTCCTCACCAGCTTCCGATCTCCACCGCTCCACCGTTCGGAAAAACCGCGGTGCGCTCCTCCAGGCGCTGGGCGCCAATGCCGTGCGGCTCTACCACTCCTTAGGACCGTCGCCGGCGAGGTCCACTCCGAACGAAGCGGAGTGAGAGACCGATGTTTGTCCTAGTGTTTGTCCTATTAGACCTCTTAGTATACTAAAGTCCTATGTTTGTCCTATACTAAAGGAGCTTTTCGACCTATTAGTTATTGGACATATGTCTGGCCTATTAGACCCTGTCCTATTCAGAAAGGCCTTTAGTTACTAAACCATCATCATCCACGTTTAACTGGTGATGGGACAGACCCAAGATCAATCCTTCCCCCGTAATTAGTAGTGATGGATGTGTAAAACGCCTCTTCATCCTCTTCAGATGGAGGGGTTGAGAATAGGATCCAAAGAGTCTACAGTATTCTACAGTCTACAGATGTCTACAGTACAAGTTGTTCTCTTCTCGCTAGGGCCTTCATCCGTAGCTCGAGCCCAACTTTAGGGTCTCCCTTCGTGAAGTGGAGACGGAGCCTCGACACGACCAGTTTGGGACTGGAATATATGCCTATGCATTCACCTTCGAAGCCAAACCAAGGTCGAAGGTGAATGTAGGGATGGCAGTCCCATTTGACAGTCCGTCAAAGGCAAACATGGAAGTCCCATTTCTGGTGTTTAGCTTGCTGTAGATTTATCTCATCAAAAGTATGACCCGTGCCATGGAACTGCCACTCGATGCATGGTTGCCCAGACCATGGTCTCTTTCGTGGCCTTTTCGGCAGCGTTCCACTGCGACCCGGGAGACCCCGAGCGTTCCAGCGTTCCATACAGCCCAGTGCGGGCGCCACAGCCTGGCCATCCAAGATCTCAAGACTTGGGATGTGAGTCTTTCGCGCAGCTGGTGGGCGATTTTTCCCGTCCAGTTCCCAATGCGACCGGACGGGATGAGATGGAGTTTCTGCAAATCTCTCACGGCCTCATTGACGTATCCCCCAACCAATGGTTTGCGTATGTTTCTGTATACAAAGTCTCTTAAGCTATTGTGACGTTACAAAGAGTCAGAGTGGCTCGTGATCACAGAGCCGTGCGACGCCGTGCGTCTCTGGTGCGAACGATTCAGCATGGTTTAGCCATCTAAGATGGTGACTTCGGAGCCATCGAATGAGGCCGCTGCAGGACAAGCCTTTGACTAGGCCCTAGCATGCTGGAACCTCGTGTTTTTGAAGCGGCTCTTGCTTCAGCCGCCGGAGGCATTGCCAGGCTATCATTTGGCAGGGCCACCTGCAAAGCCACAATACTGTTCAAGCGGCCCTGACCACTACGATCATAATGGCTTTGACTATTTGGAAGCAACTTGGTGTGAGAGTTGCCACGGCATTTTTCAATATCTTACTCGTTCTTTCCAACAACATGTTGAACAAATACAGTTTTGCTACAGGTAGGCCTGCCATGCTCTATTGATTTGACATGATTTGACCATTCTTGTCATTGCGGGTACACCTGTTGTTTTGACGAAAATGCTGAACGTTACGGCTTATCTCCATAATGACCAGAAAATATTGGTCATCTGGCTTTGCTAGGTATACCGCAAAGCAATAATGGGGTGGGTAAGCTTAGTTTCCTTTTGGGTGGGTGGTTCAGGAGGCACTGACCATGCATTTGGAGGCATTCGCCATGCCATCCCACTCGTTCACTCCGTTTTGTCTTTGCAGGACTCGATGGCAAGGGCTCTCACCAGGGCTTCTTGAATCGAGCGCAGAAGCTCAAGCTCAACGTGATGCCAGGCGCCGGGTAGTTCTTCTACAAACAGCCACTACATATAGATGCCATCAGCACAGAGGTTATAGTGAACAGGTGACTCTACAAAGTCGCCCCTGTCGCGCCGGCCAGGTTTCCATAGCACGGAGCCGGCCATGTGCGACCACTTCGATTGCCACGACGCGTGGAAAGCCGCGACGCTCAAAGGCTTCAAACAAGGCCAGCTCAAAAGCGGGCGAGATGGTTGGTGCCCAAAAAGAAATGCCGATGGAGTCGATGGTCGATGGTTGATGCATGCTGCATAAAACCTCCCTGGTTATTGGTGATGTATCTTCAGGCTTGGGGATGACATGGGTCGGCTTGGGGATCCGGTCGTTCCCTGAGTCGAGCAATAGATGGAAGGTCCCGTTGAACACATTAGTTGAACAGAAGGATGACTAGCTGACTAGCAGTTTCAAAGACCAATAGGCACATCCAGATAAATGTAAAGGACTAAACTATTGGTTTTTAAAGGGTCGTCCCACAGCCTGGCAGGACTCAATTAACATTACGGTTTAAGGTTTGGTTGCTTAAAGGATTTTCCACCATACCAAGCCTTACAAGTAATACTTGCAAATGTTGATGGCGGTTGATGGTCCGTGGAGCGTCTGCAAGTGGTGCGAGGAGTTATTCGCTCCAGCCGTGTTGGCTGCTAACTTTGCTCACCTTAGGTAGTTTGTCTCACTTGTGGCTTAAGGGCCCCCCTGACCCGTATTTGTTTCATGTTTCAGTCGATTCCCATTCGGCAGTCCAACGAACGATCGAACCTGCGGTCCGACCCGGTCAGGGGGTCCCCTGACCTGGAGGAAGACTTGAGTGACCTCATTCTGATATTCTGGGATCTCAGGTTATGGCCTTAAAAACACATCTATACTAGTAACAAGTGCATGGCTACTAGTAACCATGCATCGCTACTAGTAGCTTCTTGTTACTATTAGTAAGTAATGCCCTTGTTACTAGTAGCGATGCACTTGCTTGTGTTTTATTGTGTTGTTGTCGTTGTGATGGAAACGGATGGAAGCGAGGTCCATTGCTATCTATGTTGGCAATCCTCATTTCATGACCCCTCAGTCAGTTTGCATTCGATCACCAGTTGTATTTCAGTGGTTTCAGAGGTTCTAAGGCACAAGTTACCCCAAGTTGGGTGGTTTATATGGACCCCCATGTTTTCAGGACATCTTGGGGTGCCAGTACCATCGAACCTTTGAAACCACTGTAATTGACTCACTTGGTCTAAAACCGTTGCCTTCTCACAGCATCGATCACCATGTCCAGGCTTTTTGGTCGACAACCGCTGGCATCCGGCCACCTGGCATGTTTTCGAGACACGCGTGGGATGGACTGCCTTAGTTCTTCGTTGAAGAGATAGAAATCGACCCAACCAGCCATGAAAATCAATCGTGTTCATTTTTCAAATGCCTAGCTTGCTTGGGCATATCTCCCTTTATCATCCGTGATGATTGGTCCCCAACGGGAAATACAGTTAATCTATTATATAATCAAGTGATGTGACACTTCCTGAGTGTTAAGCTTTGGAGACTGGGAAACTCAGTTGGGGAATTCTACTTACCCTGTTTTCCTTCCTTGCCACTGGGAGCACCCCCAAATCTTCCAAGACCACTTGACCACTCGCCGCGGCCTCGCGCAGTTTCCCGTGTGGTTCGTGTGAATTGTCCGCTGCCAGTGTGCGGTCAGGCCATCAGCACCGTCATTCTCATGAACGAGCCGGACTTCTATGACAACGACGCCCTGTGCACCGACCGAGGCGAGTCGACGTGTCGACCCGTCACGTCGTCGGTCACGTCCGTCCGGACGTCGCGCGCGATGCTGTCTGCGGCGCTGTGGAGGCGCCTGGTGCCGCGTGAAGGCAGTGTTAAGCGCCATGGACGGTCTTCTGCAAGCAGAAGAAGAGGCGCAAGTGCTACCCAGCCACTCGGTCGAGATTGGTATATGGCTCCCCCAAGCTGCAGGTGACATCAGCGGTTGCGAAGAACCAGAAAATTGAATCGACGATCAATTTCAGGACTCTGTTGCAAGAAGCCTGATCATGTTTTTCTTGCTGCTGGCTTTGGCTTTGGCATTGCTCTCTCCTTTTTGGGGGACCCCCTAAACTGGTACACCTTTGGTTTGTAGAATGACACTTATTTATAGATGGCTTCTCCAAGACTCCATGCCTTCTCTCTTAAAACCCCAGACACTCCATGTATGTATGCCATATATGCCGATCAATTGACCCCCCAAACCACCACCCCTGGCCGTTTCTCGGCGGTCCTACGGCAGTCCCGTCGTTCGGGCCCGAACCAACCCCGAAGGTGTCGGGTCCGAGCCCGAACTCGAGTTGCCCGGACTCGAGTTGTCGGGTCTAGGAGTCCCATCGTGAGTGGAGGTGTAGCGGGGCACCACCCCGAGTCCCATCCGTTCGTTCGGCACCCCGTTGACTGTGACTGCCTCCGGTGGTCTCGCTTCTTTTCACCGAATGGCACGAAAAGTGCCGCGCCGCCGGAGAACCTGGACCGATGTTCGGCGAAGGCCCGAGACAGGTCGTGGCCGGGCAAAGACCAAGTGAAGAAATGCTTTCCGATTGGGGAGGGCAGACTTGTAGGGAATGCCCTAGAAACCTCCCTTAATAGACCCCCGAAGAAACATCAATCTCAAGCGCAGGACTGGCACAGCCAATCGTTCTGTTTGCTTCTTATTTTGTTTCATGTGTTGCCCTAAGAATCCGAACGGGCTCCTGCATGGCAGGGGGTCGGACCCGACACCGAAACGCAGGGGTCGTCCCTTCCGCCGGTCAGGTGACGTGAAGCTCACGGTGACCTGGTCCCTCGGCGGGCGGTTTGGACGCTTTGGACGGTTCCTGGCTCGGAGCACCATGGGGTTTCTCCTAAGAGAGAGTTATATAAGTGACCTGAACTAGGACCCGTCACCTGGGGTACCTATCCCTAAGGGTCCAGGAGCATCCTGAGGATGTCCTTTGACCCCCCAAGACCATTCTCAGGAAGTACTTTCACCTCCAAGACTCCAAGACCATCCTCAGGAGGTACCTGGACCCTATGGGTATGGGATAGTCTAGTTCAAGGTCATTCAACCTCTGGCTTGCGTCAAAGCGGTGAGGAGCCCGATGGTTTCTGGGCGGGTCACCACCGAAAGATTGGCACTGGAGGCCACCGCACCGGGACTGGCAGATGATGTTCAGGATATTTCAGGGGTCATGGAGTGGCATGGAGTGTTTTGGGATGTTTTGGGATATTTGGGTGGCATGGATGCTATATTTCATTATATTTCACATCGATACATCGATACATCGCATCTACTTCCAAAACAGTTCCAAGTCGTGATATTTTATGTGTTTTTTTTAAATTGATCGATCCTTGCGCACGCGCATGTCCGTCTCTTTTGGCTCAAGCTTTGGCACAAGCTCACCTAATGACGTACCATGTCCTTCTTCTTCTAGCGCATCTGGTCAGCGGCCAAGAATCCTGGGAGAGCATCAGGTGATCTTGCTACGTTCTTTGAATTCCTCCCCTCTTCCAGAATTTTGGGGCATTGCTAGTAAGCTTCTAGCTTAGCACCTAACTGTCCAGGTGTGGCACTTGGATTTTGAGAGACTTGATTGCTAGCTGGAGAGTTGGGTGCTGATAAGACAAGGGCCAAGCCCCGCCATGGAAAGGCCAGCACCACCCAGTTCAGGTGGTTCTCTAGAACCCCCCAGTTCAGGTGATTGCATTTTGCTTGCAATCACCACCCAAACTGGATTCTTTTTGCGCTTTATGTTTGGTTTCCTCCCACCTCGGTCAGACCAAATCCAAGGAATGTTCCTCCCTGCTCCAACGGGTCCCCGATGAACATGCAGGGCCGACGCAGATGCTCGGCTCGCCTTCGGAACGGCCGCCCGGTGGAGCATGGAAGCTCCCGTTCACATGTCCTCAGTCAGTGAGTCGGTCAGTCGGTCCAATCGCGCATGTGGTTATTTGCGTTGGGATCTTCCCTCTATTCAATCGTTTCTTGTCAAGTGAGACACTGGGCTAATGAACCTAAGATTGAGGGAATTCTATTAGGGCTAGATTTCTCCAAAAGTTCTTTCGTGCTTTCTAGTGCAGTTTGTCACATATGTATAACGCCTGCAGCCTAAATAAGATCTAAGCTGATCTAGATTACAGTAAGTATGGAGTGCATGTTTGTTCTTGCGATCTAAGGATCCCCTGCATCATCCACCAAACTTGGAAGACACATCGCTTGGAAGGGGAACAAGTGGATTTCGCCGAAACATGGAAACAGATGAATCCAAGCTGCGAGCACCATGGCCCATGCAACTCTTCGCTCGGCTCCCGGTAGTGAAAGATATTCTGGAAAGCGACAGCCTGTAAGCTGTTTTTGTTTGTGGGTTATGCCAAATATACAGGGCCCAGGGATATCCATTATATGCCTTCTCACAAGGTACGACTGGACCCTCCAAGCCTACATTAAAGTGTCTCCAATCCCCTTTCAAGTGGCAGGCGGAGCCATAGAGCGCCACAGGGATAAATTACTTTGACTGCTTTCCTTGGTAAATGAAAGGCGCCAAGGACAAGAAGGTAAGAGGGACTTATAATGTGGCGTGACGTTTCTCCGCCAAAAACCAAACCACACCATTTGGTGGAACGCAACCCCTAAGGCCCTACAGTGAATAAACCACCCAACTGGGGGTAACTTGTGCCATCTCTTTCAATCCACTATCATGTTTTTGTCATGAGCCTTGTTTCAGTTCAAAAGGATGGCCCAAAATTCCAAGGTCCCGGTCCTTCCTGCTCAGCGGGTTGGGCGGGATCAAACCCGCTCACCTCGTCCCGGAAGGAGGCCAAAACTGTTCGTCTTCCCAAGGTACAAACTTTGGAATGACACCGAAGTGGAGCAGTTCGTCGCAGAGACCTCTGCCGATCTCATTTGGCCTTTGTGGCAAGGCCTGAAGCCGGTGGAGCGCGCGGACGTGTTTCGCTACCTGGTGGTCTATGAGCAGGGCGGCTACTATGCAGACGCTTGGCTGCCAGGTGAAGAATGTACTTAAGGTCATGCAGCTTTGCTTGGAAAAGCTTCTCTAATTTACCAAAATTCATAGCAGGATGCTCAGGAAGGTCATTATGGTCAGCACTGGGATGCTCTTAATCGGACCCTATGCTTCTAGGATCATTTGCGGAATGCTTTGAAAGATTCTGGGAACTTTCAGACTTTCAGCCTTGAGACCATCGCCATGAAAAGGACGTGGACGTCTCCTGCACGCGGCCCATCCGCGAGTACCCCGTCCCCACAGAGACGCAGATGATTGTGGGCTATCAAGGCGGGTCGACTGGGCTGTTCCGCTCCAGTCGAACAATGTCCCGTTCTCCGCTCTATGAAGCCTCCGTTTGTTTGCTGTGAGGTGGTTGAAGTGGGGGGGTCCAATGTTTCGGTGCCTTTCCGCCCTCCATTTCGGCACTACGTAAGCCGACGGGATGCGGGGGGGCTTTTGGATGGGGGGGTACTCCCTACACATCTCACCTCCATCCTCGCCCTCCCGATCCTGGGCCTTGACACCGGATCCCACGAGCCGTTTGCAACCGTCAGAGCGGGAGGGAGAATCGCGATCGAATCACCTGGCAGGTCACCTGTTTTGGGGGCCCCTTAAATTCCCCACTAGAAACGGACAGGTGGGACAAAGATGAAGAAGTTTAACCATGCAAGGTATCAAGGTTCGCCTTGATCCAGAACAACTGAGGGAGGAAAAGCGATGCAAATCGATGGTTGATAGGATGCGAATTCAGGTGAAGGGCACCCAGCGTGTTTGGGCGCCCAAGCCTAGACTCCGACGTTTCTCACTCATGAGAGTCAGCGTTCTTCGTATCGTATGGGCGAAAACAGGTGAACCATTATTACCCAGACTCACTCCATGGGACTGTCATCTATGCTGCCCCGACCCCTCTGGCACCACCCCAATGTACATGGGTCGTGTTTGGGTTAGTTATTTGAAGCAACACCCACCCCATCACGAGATGTTCCGTTTCTCCCACCCGTCGCCGTTTCGACGGTTCCCCAAAAGACAGAAGAACTGAAGAACCAGGTCACCCCGTCCTCAGAGTCCGGCGAAGTGAAGGGACTGGACCTTGACCTCATGGAGTACTGGTGTTGCAGGGTCCGGACCCTGACCGGACCGTGACCTTGCTTGGGGGTCGGTCCAGGTGGCTACAGGATGCCTGGCACGAAGCCCACGAGCCCTCTACAGCGTGTCCTGGTTTGGCATGTTTGCAGGTGATTTTGTATTTGTTTCCCCCGGAGACCTGGGGAGACCTGGGGATACCTGGGGATACCTGGTTTTGTTGATAAGGTGAGTGATACCTGAAAATACCTGGGGAATCCTGGGGAATATTTTTCGATTGTTCCATGTTCCACCAATCCAAGGTGTGGAGCAGTTCGAGCAATGGTTCTTTGCCTCAGCGCCCCGGAATCCCGTGCTGCGACGAAGCTGAGCAGCAGCAGGTGGTCCACCTGACGTGTAGTCGTAGAGATGCGAATGGCGTGGATCTCCCTGCATGAGCGGCTCAAGAACCGCTTCTAGTTCAGTGGAAAACCATGGAACACCTGCAGATCACCGTTTTGGGGGATTGCACGCGAGAAAACAACACCTTTGAAGAACGGTTCAGCAGCAGTAGCTTGATTTTCCAGGCAAACGGCTCGGGATTTAATCTTTTAGAGTTCGGACTGTTGACAATTTTTCCAAGGAACCTTGGAGCTGGTGGTGCAGAAGTTTCATTGGAGGGTGGCCGGAGCTGCAGTTGGTGTGAAAGTGAGTTGTGGGGTGAAACCTGCAGTTTGGTGTTCCCAGTTGCAGGGTATACATCTTCTTTGGTGGCTTGGAGACTACAAATGGCAGCTGCACTTTCCCACCAGAAATGCACGAGTTTTCGACTTTCAGACAAAATATGTAAAATATACTCATGCAGCTAGTCATTAGCAAAAGCACACAGCAGGTTTTTGTGTTTTTCCTTTTGCCATTGGCATGAATCACACTCATTTGTTCTCGCATGGTGAACCACCACCACCACCCAAATCCAAGACCCACCATGACGGCTGAAGCTTTGGTGGCCCCGAATATCCCTGAATCTACCACCCACTAGAGTGAATGAGACAGGTTTAGACCAACAGATGCTAGAGTTGGTGTGGGGATATGCATGCTGCACCATCAAACAGGAAAATCTCATAAGCATTTGAATTTCAGCATCAGCAAGACCCCTTATAGAGGCCGACCAGTGGAGCAAAGTGTATTCTGATGGCGGTGAACTAGCTAGCCCCAGGGGCTCCGAGGTGTTCATTGGTTCAATTCACCAGATTTAAGGGATGATTTAGGGATGGATTTTCAAGGCTAAACATCATCTCACATCCCAAACATCATCCAAATTCACATCCAAAGTCACATCCAAACAAGCCATCCATGCCATGCCATTCATGCGTCCAGAAGGCCTGCGCCGAGCGAAATCGGCCCCAAACCCGTCCTTCTCCTCCTATGCCCGACAAGGTCCACAACCCCTGCGAGATGACGGGCCCGGCCACCTTCAGCGGCTTGAACTCCGAACGAACGGACCACGAAGGCAAAAGGGTGATGTTCTTTTTGGATCCTCGAAACGGCCAAACCACGTGGCACATGCCACCCAAAAAAGCCTCCGGGCGGCAAACAGCACTCGTGCTGTTTGAAGATTGTGCAACATGCTCGGAGGCATGTTCCTTTCGGGGCTTTGATTTCCAGTGCTTCTTTCTCCGGAAACACTTGAGGACGGTTTCGATGTGGATGTCAGTCAGCCACGGAAACTTGTGGCTCAGCACATGTTCTACCCGAAGCATGCACACTGGATGGATACCGTCGCTCGTCACAGCCGCCTCCCGTGAGAACAAAACGAATCAGCCAGAATCGCACATGCAGATACCTGATCACCCGATGAGAACTGAGTTGTTTGCTTCGTGCCTGTATGATCTGTATGGAAGATGTGGGATGGTGTTGTCACTGTCCTAGTCTGGATTCCACGTATTATCATTATATCTATACCTTTTGAGAGGGTTATTTTCACATGGAGACACTTGTACTTGTAGGGGCTTTTCCGGGTCTGCTATGTTTTTGAAGAGTCGTTCGGGCTCGGAGCCCCACACGAAGGACGTGCCCCCGGGAGCCTTCGCCTCGACGAAGACCTTTCGAGCTTCTCCGACACTTGTTCTTCGAGAAAAAGCGTACTCTACTTTTCGATGAGGTGCCATGGGGTCCTATTCAAGCTTCCCAGAACGATTTAGCTCAGCAGTACAGTGGTTTCAGAGTAGATGGCACAAACCCCAAGATGACTTTTAGATAGGGGTCCATATAAACCACCTCTTGGGGATTGCGCCATCTTCTCTGGAACCACTGTACTACAAGACAAGCTTACCCCAAAGTTCGGAGACCGAGGACTTGGAGGCCCATAGGGTCCTAAATGAGACACCTCGGACTTGAGAAGCGCTTCGGGTGGTCGCGTTTCAGCCTGAGGTGATGCAATCCATGAGTATCTTGGAAAGCAGCACAATGTGCCAACCCCGTTTCAGGACAGATCGCACCGTTTCATGATTCATGCTCAAGGCCTTTTAACCAAGTGGTCCTTCTCCACCCAGAAACGGATCGCACAGCCCCATGAGATACATGTCTTGAACTTGTGAGGCCGAGTTCGGCTTAGTCCCAGGGGGAGACCCCCAGGCTGCCGAGGTCAGAGCGTCCGACCGCTGGAGCTGAGCTTGCGCGCAGGTACTTGGAGAAGGCTTCTGATCAGGCCATGGCCGATGAGGTCTCCTTGCGGAAGCTGGAGCTGGAGGGTGTCGTCCTAGGCGGGACGAGGGTCGAGGGTCGGGAACATATTATGCACCTAGAGTTGAGTTGGGTCAGAGGGAGCAATGGCATATATACAGGGAGTGGCTTGAATTTGATTAACCAAAACCATATTTTAGTGTTGATTAAAGACCTCTGTGCCTGCATGGTAAGACATCACCACACATCTCGAGGGGTCTGATTCATCAGCAACATGAGGGCACAGTGTCCCATGTGGAACTCGCTTCGGGCGTCCCATCTCGCCTTGTGGGAAAAGATCTGGATGCTCGCCCCCTAGGGATCCAAGTACCTTCTCAGAAGGTGATTGGAGGCACTGTTATGTAGGTTTGGAGGGTCCAAGTACCTTCTGAGAAGGTACTTGAACTTGGATTCCTAGGGGCCTTGTGGTTTTGTTCACTGTATTTACCCCAGTAGAACTGATCGGTCGGATCGCGGGTGTTTTTTGGTCATGAAGAGATGGACCGAATGGGTACCTTGATGTTCTGGAGAGGTTGAAGGGGTTCAGGAATGGTCACTTCAGAACTTGGATTCATCAGAGTCAGAGTTTTTGTGGGATAGTTGGGCTGAGCCTTGCCGGCGCAGCTCTCAGACATTCTCAGATGCTTTGGAGATTTTGAAGGAAGAGACACTTTAGGTCGGATGGTTTGGATGGTGCACCACGGGGTTGGCTTTATGCCTGCAATGCAGGGTGAGATTGGGATGACATCGACGGCTTTCCCTTTTGTCACGCACATCTGGAATGAGATGAAATTCTGAAGTAGAACGATTAGGATATAAGAAGGTCAAGGTCCCTTTCACATGCGTTTGTGTGGGATGCACTGGGCTTTCAATGTATTGCCCTTACCATGTTTGCGCTTCACGGAACCGTGCCTCGCTCCTTGAGGCGAAGTGAGCTATCCACCTGAGAAGCTCTATGGCAGCGACTGGAAGATTTGGATCTTCGCCGCGGGCAGAGTCAGCTGGACCGATTCGCGTCGTGCGGATCGCTTCGCCCCGGTCGAAAGACGTCTCCACGCCTCTGCCGACCGCACCCGTGGGGCGATGTGGGGCGTGGACCTGCTTTTCAGATGTGGCGCATCGCTGGGCATGGCCCCTACGTGCCCCTACTGGCCCCCCAAAAGGTGGAAGACCCTGGCCCTACTTGCACAACCCTGAAAACAGAGGTGTTTTGCGATATCCTCACTTCTGAGACTGACCAAAAAAAAGGTTTGCAAAATCAGTAATCACTGCATGTCAGATGTTCTGCGATGTTTTCTCGTTGCCTCTTTTGGGCTTCACTGTTGTGCATTTCCGCCTGAAGCGTTGATCCCTGAGCTGAGCTTTCAGTGTGCAAGCTGCAAGTGAGAAACAACGAAACGCATTACGTGGCAAGATCACTTTCTTCCTAAGCACACTGAAACCTTTACTGAAGCGCCATAGCAGGTCCAGACCATAGCAGATGAGCTCCAAAGCAGTGTAGCTTGATGTGTGTTTGGTTGTTTGTTTTCGACTCTTGGACCATCTCCAGTGCACTCACTTCGTCTAAGCTGTGCTTGGTGGGACGCGACTGACGCTTCCGGCCCGGTCTTCGACCGTCCCAGGTGAGCTCCGAGAAGACCGCCAAGGCGGATCCACGCTACGAGTGCCGCGGACCGGTAGATCACATCGGTCGGGTCGACGGGTCGACGGGTCAGTCGTCGGGCGTGGCGAAGCATCCACTGCGTGGTTTGGGTTTGTCCCCGCTGCGATGGCGGTGAAGAATTGGACCGAGCCCATCCTAGCCATCATCCACTGGGCCCTCTTCTTCCGTGGGATCAAAACGGAAGGCTTCGCCAGCCACGCCCTGCACGGGTGGCAGGGAAGATCGCCCTGGGACGGGTGGAGGACGACGTCAATCGGTGGTGCCCTCGGACCGGAAACGGGTGGTCTTCGCCCCCGAACATCGGTGAGAGGACCCCCAGATCGTTCTCCAGTTTGATGCAGGAGTGTGAAAGCGTTTGGCAACTTGGTGTTGGGACCCACTGTGGCCACTGGTTCGTTGCGAAGCTTCGCAACGGCACTGAGGTTTTACAGTGCAAAGGAGCAGAAGATTGTCCAACACCACTATGCAGGGACTTGGTGGAGAGAGCCCAAGAAACTCTAGCCTTTGCTGGCGAGCTCAGTGCCTGGTATCGTGTCACATGAGTCAATCAATCACCGATTATTTCATATCTTGCGGGTTCTTGGAAATACAAGCTGCTACCGTCATTATCAAACTGTCATAGCAAGATCTAACAGACAGAGGATAGTGGCTACCACATGTACGTTGATCACTTTAAGTTTTTGTAGCACGGAATTGAATGAACCAGATCCAAATCCTTTGCAGCAAGTCAAAGGCACAAATTGGATCAAATTGGTACAATGGTGAGAGCTCTTCGACGGCCGGCGTCTGAAAAAAGGCCGACGTTTGTCAAGATCCCCAGAGAATCAGTCAAAAGCGCTGATTTGGAGTCACGCCAAGGAAAACAGCAAAGTGCGTTTGTTGCCGGGATCCTCGAGCTATATTGATGCAATCCTGCAACAACCCGGAGCCGCCAAAACACGTGAATACATAAGAACAATAATCATCAATAATCATAAATATTGCACTGTTCAAAGTGCTGCAGATTTGGTTCCTTCGGGTTCCTTTAGCCATACTATATACTCTACACATCATTACACTTCACTTGCTTTTACCATCATCTACCTCTCAACCCATTTGACTGAAGAAGTATCACTAATATATGCACTGGTAACAGCAATAGGAACTACAGCCTCCTGTGATTACCCTCGTAAGCCACACCTAAATCCGCTTTGGTGAGGTGGGTGGAGCCCACCGGTGGAGCCCACGTAGCAATCTTGGAAAGACCTTCCCACTACCTGGACCCTCAATTTCCTGGTCAAAAGTCTAGTGCCAAAATTCCGTAGTTGGGGTCATGTTTGGTCCTAAAAACCACCGTTTGTATCCATTTGTCCTATCCTAGTAGGTACGTACATGTACCTACCCACGAACTACCGGCTTTGCAGATGACCGAACATTCGTTGGCTCTTCTGGGGCAAAAGAAGAAATCTGATTAGATGGTGAGCATGAATTCCCCATTCCCTCCCCCACTTCACCAGGTCCTTCGCCCGGTCTTCGCCGATTCCCAGGTCCTTCGCCATGAGGACCTCCATCGATGGGAAGGTCCAGGGTCCAGGCACCTTTGGCTTCCAGGCCGGGAGCAGGTGGCCGGGAGCTCGAAGGTTCAGAGCTTCGATGGCGACATCAAGATGTCCGACAGGGTCCTGTCGACGAGCCCAGTTGAACCACCCAACTTGGGGGAACTTGGGCCATGTACTCTGAAACCATTGTGAAAACGAAAGATGCATTGTCCTGGTTTAGTGAAGAGCCCTTGGTAAAACAATGATGGTTTGGTCAAGCCAATTGTTGTTGGAATGCCAGGGCAACCAATGGAAGATGCACCAAAACAGTCAAAATATGTGGCATTCAATAGCAAGTAAACAAATGTAAACAACCCCCCGTTGGTATATGGAACGCTTTTCGTTGGCTTATCGCCACTCTGCAAAGATGTGCAATCAATCAACCATATCAAAACATAGTTTTCCCCAAGGGGCAACGGGAAGCCAACGGGCAGCCAACGGGCAACACCCTCAAAGTGTTCATGTTTGGATAGATAGTGTCACCCTAGCCTTGCAAGATCACTAAAGGCAAGGTTGACCTGACCTGCTTTTGTAGTCTAAAGATTGTTGGTAAAACAATGGTTGTTTGGGATGCAGACCATTCAACCAATGGTCGGCCAGGAAACCCCAAGGGATATAATCCAGATATCATCGACGGGTTGATTGGAGCAGTTCGAAAAGCAGACTGACTGCGGAGGCGGTGTTTCGATTCGGCGTGTTGATTTTCCCCAGAGCTGCAACCACATCCTCAGAAGGTAGTTGGACCATGTTAGACCCCAAAACCTACCACAACCACCTTCTCAGGGTGGTTGGAGCCCTAGGGTTTTGTCAGGATATGGTGGCAGTCATGGAGGACCCCTCCTTGGTGAAGTACACTCCAAGGACGCCGAAATCCGTCGGCAGGCCGGTGACTTAAGGCTGTTCGTTTTGGGATGCGTCACCGGAATGGTGATCAATATTGGTTCGCCAAGCTCGCCAAGAACACAGCTGAAAGAGATGAGTGACATCTGAAGAATATTGAGGTTGGTGAACGAGGTGTCTTTGAATGAGTCTCACTCTTCAAATGAGGTGCTGGAGGGGACTGGACAGTGTGATACAGAATTCAATGGAGACCGCCTGAGACCAAAAGAATTCATTATGATTTAAGATTTGGTGCATTATTGCGGGGACTTTGGCAATATGGCTCGGGCTTTTCTTGAAGAGACGTCTTCCAAAGAGTGTGGTGGTTCTGTTTTGCCAGGTTGGCAGTGCCGAATGAGGCAGTGGCTCTCAGTTGTGCAAAGCACCATTTGACCATGACCATGTAGACCCTTGATGAATAAACAACCGTGACACAGATGGTTTTGCATCAACGAAAAATGGTGTTGCATCTCCATATGGTTCACTATAAACAACACCATATACAGATGAATAAGACCGTTGATGAATGGTTTTGCATCTCTAGTTCTGGGGGTTGGGACCCACCCTCAGCATGACCCAGGCCCGAAACAGCCCAAGCTTCCTGCTTCTCACATCTTGGTCCTTGGTCCCATGTTTCATGGCCTCGCCATGACCCAACTTGCTACAGTGGTTTCAGAGGTTCGATGGTACTGGCACCCCAAGATGTCCTGAACACATGGGAACCACCGACATTGGGGTCTGTGCCATCTACTCTCAATCCACTATATTTCGGTGTTTCCAGTTGTGGCTTGGTGATTTTTGCGCCAGGACTCCCATGAAGAAGCTCAGAGAGGCGTTTCATTCCAGGCCGATCGAAGAGTGGGAACCATATATGGGTCATGGGAACCGGGTTCTCGGTGGTGATCCGGCAACGCCTTTCGAAGTGTCCTTGAAGAGATGGACAGGCCCGGCGAAGAGACAAAAATGGACCAAAACCCTGTGGATGCTGAGAGATGGGAGCTCTTTGAGCCACAAGGCGCCTTCATGTCCCGGACCTTGAGGTTGGAGCTCGCAAAGCGCGTTCAACGACCCAGTAACCAAATGCCGATTCGAAACAGCCGCAGAAGCAGGTGCTTGTTTTCAACAGGAGCTGATGGGGTAACAGCAACGGATCCTGAAACTCTTCGGTTTAAATATCAACTTCAATTGCATCCCAAAAACAGAGATGTTCTCTCAAAAAAGCCTCATCCAGACTTGAACCCAGTCCGCTGCCGTTGGTCGCCGAACGGACGGAACACGGACGGATTTGGGTCTTCCTACGAAGAGACAAGAACATCGGGTGCTTTTTTTTTGGGGGGGGGGGCTTGTGTTTTTGGACAGATTGAGAACCCAAAGGAAAACCTAGAGAATCAAACACAAAGAAACTATATAATCCAAATTAAATCCGGGCCAAAAAAGGATCCCAAATTTGTAGATATCCTCAACTTTGTAGTGAGCTCGGGAGGCAGGCCAGTGCGCAGCAGAATTAAAAGGATCCAACAACTATCACGACTGCAAGTGGTATTCCCACTTCAGTACCTGAATGGGTGGACAAAAACGGATCAATTCTCAGTTTCCGTGTGATGTTTTCCCAGACTCTCCAGCATACCTGGGTGTCCTGTCTGGAGATCCCCCCCAATCAATGAGTCTGAGTGTAGGGTCGTCCAGCCAGGACAGGTCCGGTCCTGTTCCAACCCCAGCCCTTCCACCCAAGCGGAGTCGCAGGTGGATTCATGGCTTGAACACCCAAGCACCCTGGAACCTCGGTCGTGCCTTCGAGGAAGGACTCATCGGAACCAGGAAGGTTCCTTTTCGGAGTCCTTAGGAGGTTCTGTTGTTCTTTTGTGTTTTTTGGTTTTTGCAATTTGTTGGCTATCTAGTCATGAAACTTGAGATAGCTCAAGGCTCAAGGCTTAAGTGTTGATGTGCTTGTTGCTTTCGCATGCTTTCGCCGGAGTGGAGGTTCTGGGTCTTTCCATGGGCCCGGGTGGGTTTTGCTGTCAGCCTCCTTCAGCCTCCTTCACGGTCGACATGGGGGTTCTTGCTTTGCATCTAGCAGCCACCCAGCCACGGAGTGATGCTGCTTCGAAGCACCTTAGGCAGCCTTAGCACCATTGATTGATGTGGTTTTGCCGAAAAACAACTTGTTTAACTCAGGATTTACAGTAAGAAACCTGGTCACCCTTTTTTCAATGGTCTTGGAAGACTAGGGGGAACGTGAATACATTATTGACATTGATGGCTCTTGAGAGTCAGCGATGTCAAGCCCTTTTGCACAAAATGCCAATCAGCAACCAGAGGGCAGAAGATGTTTGACAACTGCACATCTCATTTTGTCATCCAGGACTTTAAGTGACGTGCATTATGTCGTTTTTGTATGCAAAACATGTTTTCCTCTTTGGAGTGCTTAGTGGAATGATATAGGGATCCGGAATGGATTGCAAACACATGTTGAAAAGGGCACTCATTGATTCCTGAGGAATTTCGTGAGTGACTTTGTCACCAATCACTACAAGCTCTATGACAACTTCGGAGGTGCAGAGCGGGGATCAGCACACAGGAAATCAGAAGATTTAGTATTATCCAGAGTATGTTTGTTTGTAGGCAAGATTGCTTCCGGAGGATGTTAGAACCTGAGGAAACTCCAAATTATGTTTTCTTTCTATATATATATATAGGAAACATTCAGACATTTGGTCGGAGCATGCGACGCTGCGACATATTGGTGTTCTGTTTGTTGCCAGCTTGGCCGGAACAGGGGCTGGGTTGCAACCCCTTGGGCAAACACGACTTGCTCCGTGCCACTGGGCATACCCCCTTCGGAAATTGGCTCAAATCCCCAGGACTTCTTATCGCCCCCTTTCTAAACCACCAGTTGGGATTTGAAGCCAAGAGCTTCTACATGGGACATCAAGCCATATATTCAGAGTCTGGACCCCACCCAAATAGACGAGCGGCAGCACCAACCTCTCGTGGTCCTCTTCGTCGGCGTTCGTGCAGGTTTGCCGTGGTTCATCGGTGAGTACGGCGCCAATGGGCAGGCGGAGTCTCTGATCATCTCTGACTTGGAGCCACCGGGTCGCGAAAAAGCGCAGGAAGGGGGGTGTGGTATGTAGTATTGGGATGTATTGGGATGTATTGGGTATGACAACCAGTTAGAGGTGGGTTGTTCCCACACTTCAGGATTTCCAGGTTCACATGTGCCGCTGGCATTTCAGGGGATTTATTCACCTGCGCTGGCTGGATCTGAAATTGATGTGTGCCCAGGTGAACCCCACCGATCTTGGTCGGGTGGTGTCACTCAACCATGCCGACTCGGAGACCAAATCGACATCAATCGACCATCGCACTTCGCTCAAAAAAGAACCGTGCAGGCATCTCCGTTTTTCGTTGCGATGCCCTTGTTCCGTTCGTAGCTTCTTGCTACTCGTAGATCCTGCCAGGAGCGCCCCCGTTCGCTTCGGCGTCCTTTCTCGCTCCGGTTCGTCACGATGGTCGCCGATGGCTTTCGATCGGTCCGGGACGGCGATGGATGGCCGATGGATCTGAGGTCCATGGACCAGAAGGCCGCCTCGGATGAGAGACTTCGGCGAGGATGCAGCTGAGGTGAACGAAACGAAACCCCCAGCTCAGCGAAAAGAAGTGGAATCAGAACTTGAACATAGATAGACCGACCTGGAAGCCTGTGAACAGGGCTACCGAAAGGCAATCATATATGTGTGTGTGTGTTCAGATTCAATGTGATTGTTATGTATTTTGTCAACCCACGGCAGTAGAAGTGTTGTCATAATTAATTAAAAGTGATCCTGGAGCTGTTTCGACCCGTGTGCTTTTCCAAAAGCACCCTCCCCGGACAAAGCACATGCTATTCCAGTTCAAAGGCAAGCGCATTTTTTGGTATCGATGGATGTGAAAAGGTGGCACGCTGTGGTGAACTACTAGCGTTAGTGAGGCCTCCGGACAATTTGCTCAAAACATCATGGGACAAAAGGGTGGTGGGTTTGCCGAAAGTGGTTGTTTTATGTTGTTTTGATGTTTGTTGTGCAGTTGCCCTAGGGCCCTGGGGTTTAGGGCGACCTGCAGCAGTATTGTCAAAAAGAGCGACCAATTGTGGTTCACTATGGTTTAGTGCCAGGCACCAGGAGCTCCAAAGATTTCCAAAGAGGTTCTTTTCGGACTGGAGGTGGAATAGTAGGCACCCCTGCCCTTCAACAGCCAGTGTATCCTGTATATAGTATATATCCGTACATATCAGTATTGTATATCTATAACTGTATTATCATATATATTCATATCAGGATTACAATAGTAGAAATAGTATAATAGTATAGATCAGTATTATATCTAAAATATATATTATACAAAACATATATATATATATATATATCATTTGCTGGGCTTGCGGGGCGATCGAGGAAGTTCCTGGGGTCGGCCTTCAACCGCGAGGATCGCTTGGCGAAGACCACATTTCCAGACCTCAAAGCATCACTGAATTGAGCAACAGAGTTTGAAAAGAGCTTCAATGAGCATTGTAAAGATTTGTAAAACTAATACCATGTAAGCACCTCATACAGCATGAGACACCGTTGTATGACATAAACTCATATATGATCTCTGATGAACCTTAAATGGATGCTGGGGCACTCTATGTTTCACTCGCACATTGACTTATGCATCCTTATTGCCTTAAGCTTTTCTCAATCATATTCAACAAATTACATAAATCATGTTTCATGCAACCACCACTGCCAAATGGGTGTGTTCTATTAGCCATGTTTTTCCAGCAGCTAGCAGCTCCCAGGCTTTGAGGCTGAATGGCGCACGGCGCACAACCTCCGGTGGTCAATGCACCCGCAGTGATCCACCAAGGCAAAGGCGGCTCCGAGCTGAACTTCGGGTTGTTCAGCATCGGAGACAGGCCGGCCAGTCCGGGCGGTTTGGCGGTTTAGCACGTGTTTGGCGTATGATACGGGAAACAAGGGACGTTGTGATGGACATAATGACCATCTACCAAGATCTACCAAGTATCCCTTTCCTTAGCTCGGATTTGGAAGCTTCATGCAGTTTCTGTTCTACTCATTCATCAGACAGTTTGAGGGTTTGGATGGTGGAAGGGAAGATGCTGATTCATCATCTCTTGACTTTCTGTAGGATGGACAGTGCAGCGGGACTCCGGACGTTACAGCGATCAAAGGCGCCCTGCTCCGGCAGATCAGACCCGCCTGATCTCCCAACATGGCGCCTCCGGCGTCTCTGTGGAGCGTGGGAGGTTCAAGTGATTCAAGTGGTTTAAGGCAACAGAACCTTTATGACTCCATGTCACCTTCCTCCAGCATCCGAAAGAGAAACTCCATGTCACAGGCACCATGAATGGTCACAAATACGGAGGTGATTGATGAGCCCAGAGTTTGGAAGGAGGATGTTCGGCACCAGATGAACAACACAAGGACCACCTTGGCAGGACCACCGGGCATCCAGTGGTTGGCACGAATTCCCACCGCAAGGACACCATGTGTCTAAAATCCGTCATGGAGCTTCCTTGACCTCCGACCATGTCTATCAAGAGAGGTTAAGTGACCTTATAGGACCCTACTGGGGTACCTATGGGCCTATGGGATAGTCTCTAGGGTCATTCAACCTTTGCTGGTACCGTTTGCGCCGCGCTGCTCCACACGCCAATCTGCCGGTGGCAGGAAGATCGGCGAGACAGGCGAGGTGTGTGACAAGAACAGCCATTGCAGGACATGGCCAGTGGCTTGGTGGAACGCCCTGGGCTGTTGGGCATCGTCGCGAACCAAGGCGGCCGGTGCGTGGTGCGTGAGTGAGTTGGTAAGTGCGTAGTGAATTTGAAGAATTTGAAGTGTTTATTGGGGTCGATATGTTTTGAAGGGTGTCCCCTTGGACAAGTGCATCAGAGTGTGCATCATGATGCATCATGTAAAGACGTTGAAACCATCATCGTATTGATCCCGTGATGTTTGAGCTGTTTACTCCAAATGTTCGTGACATTGTGCCAGACCCAAAACACGCCAGATACCCCAGCTCAACCACCCCAATGTAGGCAAATATACAGTAGCAGTCCAGTGGTCGCGTTTGGGAAAGTCATCGGATCCTTAGACGTCATGAAGGGCGATGAAGAGCTTCGTTAGTGCCTTGGACTCCTTGGACATTGGAATGTACAAGTAGGGCATATATGGCGCCAGTATGCATCAGTGGAGTGTCATTGTGCCACCTGTCAAGTCATCCCTCCGTGGATGCCTAGTCAGAAACAATCTGCCGTTTCACCATGTTTGCATTATTTTGCTATATTTTGCTTCATGTTCAATGAAGAGCGGACCATTAAACATCATCAGTTGCAGGCTCATCAATGTGGTGGAAAAAATTGGCTACCAGAAGCTGACAGAAACAATTTACTCAGAACCATTCTTGTAGGAACGCCGGGCTCGCGTGATTGGCTGCCAGATAAATGCAGCATAATTCAACAGGTCCAGAGGTGGAATCACCATTAAAGGTGCAGTACTGTCATGTTTGTTTGGCCTCGGGCACTGTGAAGGTTATAAATGGCGGTACCAACATGGGTGGATGTGCCACTTTGGGGTCACTCCAGTGGCGCGGGGTGTAGCTGTGGAGCTTCAACTACTCTCCAGCCATCCCAATGCCAGCTGTAACTGTAGCTGTACAGCACTATCGACCCATCACAAGAAAAGCTCCACAAGAACTAGGGAGTTTCACCACTGAAGCAATGTCTCCCTAAGGAGGATCGTGATCAGCTTGGTACTACAGGGCCATAGGGCCAGTACAGAGCTGTTGCAGGACTCCCTTCTTTGCCATCCAAACTGCACAATAGGGCTTAAGGCGTGCAGGTGGGGCGTGTCCCATACCTGTAACAGTGGGTAAAATGTTATCTATGTTTGAGAATGGTTTTTATACCAACCATCATCACTGGGTCCTGGGAATGGGATATACCTAAGACGCAGTACCTCCTGCATGGATCCCCTTCCAAACGGCCTTGACACCCCGATGGGAACCGCATCTACCGTGTTCTGTGCCACGGCTGAGGTGTTCTGTGCCTCGGCTGAGCGTAGAGCAGGGCGACATGGCGTCTTGAAGAAGGCCTAGGAGCACACTCGCAGCCAGTGGAAGAGCACCAGGATCCAAGAATATCCAACACATATCCAAACATCCTAAGGGAACATGTCTATGATTTTAAGATGCATTTGCATGCATTTGCATGAGGGCGCCTCTCCTTGGGTGCCGGACCTGTGTGAACCGCACTCAGACCCAGCATCGACCAGGTGTATGGCACTTTTTGAGCATCGGATGAGAGGAACCTGTGGATTTGACCGGCAATGCAGCAATGCAGACTATTGATTTATTGTAATTATGATATAATAGATGAGAACGCACCTACCATAAATGCCGCTACATCACCATAATGGGGGGGCTTTGTTGAGCAACATTCTACATGAAGCAAATGTTTACGCTGTTTACCCATTCTTCCACGCTGTTTGGTCAAGCGATGCCACGTGTTGGATTTGCAAACGGGACAATGGTTTTCAACTTGCTGCACCACTGGACCAGCGACTGAAAACAGACGTGGCTGCCACCGTTTGATCCAACTCATGCGCGGGCGATGTGAAGTTGTATACGGTCGCAGCTATATAGTCACCTTCAACTAGTCATCATCGCTTTCCAATCTTGGAAGCAGATTCAGTGGTTGAATCCAATTTATGTGCTTACCCTTAACCAGAGCAAATCCGCTGGAGCTGTCGGGAGCTGTCGAGCTCCCTCGGCTCGACAGCTCGCTGTCGAGCTCCCTCCCCGCGCCAAGCGTCCGTCCGAGCGAGCATGGCGCCCACGGTGGGCGGCACTCGTCCACAGTTGCTATACATGGGCTCTAGGATGTTCTAGGCACTATACTGTTAGTAAGGCATGCAGAACATATTTAGGAAGAACATGTCTTTAGAAATGATGTTCTAATAGTCTTTATATATGTATAATATTTAACTATACTTGTTTGCAGCTATGGCCTGTCCAGGATGTTCCACCTCGTAAGGAATGGTTAGGGTGTGTGTATCGAGAATAGGGAGGCCACGCAACTTGTGTTTTGTTTGTTGATTTGTGATGCCCGCGTCCACCGTCCGGCACTTCCCTCGAATCTGTAAGAGGAAGGCCAGGCCAGACTTGAAAATTCTGGTGGATTGCGGCGAAGATTCATGAAGATTTCAAAATGAACATGCAACATGCATATTCTCCAGCAATGGAAGTACATGGGAAATACAAGACAGGTAACAACTGTTTAATCCTTCTCATCCTCTCAAGATTTCACAAATTGTGCTTGGGCTGTGGAGGGGCTCGCAGATAATCATAGCTTTTAGCCTGAGGTTTGGGCACCAAGCTGCCTTGGTTCGAGAACCAGCCAGCTTTGGGGAAGCGGGCTCAGGCGCATAGCACGTGCGACGGGCGCGCGTGCGTGCTCGCGCGGCAGGTTGTTGTCTAGATTTGGATACGTTTCCTATCTTTTCCCAATTATCAATCGCACCTGGACCTTCAAAGGGGTGTCGAATGGAGATCCACAAGTCGTGTAATTAGAGTATTTAATTTTTCATTTGAGACCTTGCAGAAGGAGCCGTTAGTTTGCATCTATAGTGACTATAGTGATTCCGTGTGTCAGCTTGCAGAAGACTTTCCAAATGTGTCGGTGACCCACCCGAGTGTCGGACCTCCAGTTCTATTGTTTCATGTGTCAACATCATGTCATGTCTAGACTTCAAGTCTTTTCCCATGCCGGCAGTGAACGTTTCGCAGGTTCCAGCCCTGACATGCAAAAGGTGTGCTTTCGGTGCTTCCGAGTTACAGTAGTTTCTTGCTACGGTCGTAGCGATGGCCTCCAAGCTACTTGCGATGGCGAGCATAACGTCCTTGTTACTGAGTGCAGTACATCCTCGGGCCCGCAGCTCAGGCCCTGGCCACAGCCTGGGGAGGCATCGCCGAGAACTCCTGCTGAGCAAGATCGAGTGGTGCCAGACGATAGTTATACCGATATACTGTAGTATACGTTAACGAAATGTGTGTACGGAGTTTTGTCTAGATCCACTGGGCTACGATAGATTAGAGCAATTCGATTTTTGTTGTTGGAAGACGCTGGACTTTTGACGGCGCCAATATTGCACGACCCGTTTGATTATTTGCAGAATGGAGTAAAGCCCCTAAAAAGGACGCATCAGTGTGGCAGATGAAGAGACATATGGAGCTGTGACCGATGGCTTCGAGGAGACCCTATAAAGCTATGCTTTTTGGGGAGCTGAGTCTTGAGTCCAGCCATCTCCAGCCTTCCAGTTTTCGTCCTGATCAAAAGTGTCGGGCCAAATCTGGTTTTATACAGAGCCAATGTGAAGAGCAGCTGGCCGAACATGCAGCGTAAAAGCTGCCACAGGCCGAGTGTACAGGTTCCGAATTCGAACAAACAACTCTTGGACACTTCCAGAGCCCCAAAGATTGGAGGTTCTAGTTCGTGCCCCCTGTTAGAACACAACAGACCAATAGCAACTTGTGGCAAGCGGAACTTTTTCTCAGTCCAAGAATCCGCGTTTTCCGAGGGCCTTATGTGACCAAAAGGAGCCCTGCACAGCCGAACGAGCTGTGTTAACAGGAGCTTCCAGAGAGGTCGGCCTTAAGTTTTGCGTCTGTCAATTCGCAGATGAAGGGCGAAACTGACTCTTCAGGAGCCGTAGGGAGCGTATAGTGTTCTTTTTCTTGTGTGTGTGCATGTTTTCTACACAACATGCGTTAACATGTGCCGCGCGGATCGTTTTTGTTTCTTGGTGTGTCCCGCACCCTTCTCTCGGTGGCGAGGTATGACGCCCCTGAGTCTTGACCGCTTCCCTTTATCCCCGTAGTTGGCTCGAAGACAAACTACAACAGACGTGCCTTGACGTAGACATGATATGCCGACTGAGAATAGCCCAAAGTCCTTCTGAATGTTTGTGTAAGAAATAAATCATAGGACACTTTATTTGGACTTGAACCAAGGGCTTGCTCGGGTTAAGATAAACCCAAATACATAGACCTTGAACATATTGAACTTAATAGTGATGGGTGGTTGCGCTTTCCGTAGTTCACCCTGAGTTTGTGCTAAACGAATGGGGGGGCCTCTAAAGTAAATTACCACCAGAACACAATTATTGGATTCGTGGGAGGATTCATTTTGCAATTGGTTATAGTATTTATGTTCCTTTCATAGATTGCATAATTCCATAACGGGCCTTTGCTTTAGTAGAGATCTCAGGAAAGGATGCTATCCCTTGGGCAACAACCCATGTTTCAGATATTACAAAAGGGATCCCCAAAAAAGCTTGTTTAATGTGTTAGCATTAGTTAAGACAAGCTTACTAATCAGAATCCAACATTAGCCACACCACTTTGGTCATTTTTGCATTGACATGTGGATATTTTGTTTGGTTGATTTACTTTTCTGAGAAACGTGCTTAATATAGATTTTAGATGTATGAAGTTATGGTGTGCAGGGTAGGAACATGACTATTCCTGTTTGGCGGCAGTGACTCCACAGGGTCTGCACACTTTCACTAGAGTGCATTTGTATGTATATATTTGTGTATGCCAACCTACTCCACAGGCTCAGTGACTCAGTGAAGATGTTTGGGGTCCATGCCAGGCAAATACGGAGCGCACAGACAAAGAATACAATCAAGTTTAAGCAGGGTCAATATGACGATGTTAGTCATGGAGATGCGGGCCAAACAAATGCGCACCTCTGATGTCAGAGAAGGATTAGTCATTATTGTAACTGCAACCAATATAGTTGTCCTTGTTTTTTCGTGTGTTTTTTCTGCGGCCAGCTGACTGAATTGGTTGTTCCTGTCGTGGTGCTAGTGTTGGAGTCTGTAGGCTAGTGGAGTCCATGGTAGGCTCCTCGTTTCGAGTGCCGTTTCGCCTGTTTTTTGCATGCTGCTGGTTTGTCCAGCTATAGGCCTCGGAGTGGGACTGGGTCCAGGCTACGCACCATCGCCCTCGAACTGGGTCGACCGGGGAAGTTTTTAGGTCCAGGTCCGCTGGGTCGTTTCCTGACTTGGGATGTCAATATCTGAGATGGGCCCAATCCCCAAAGATTCAATCAATTGGAATGAGGGATGAGGGAGGATGAGGGAATTTCACCAATCCCTTTCTGGGGAATCTCATGCCAACCGGGCGGCGATCCGGGCGCTTGAATTGAAGGATGGTTCTTTGGCCCCAGGGGCTTGGGATGCACACCGGCGTCGCCTCAGCCCTTCGCCCACACCGTGACGCGCCCAGCACGTCGATGCCCACGCGTCAGCGCGTCAGCTCAATGCGTTGAAAGAGCTGAGGGGAGGACTTGAGTGATACGTGATACGTCATGCGTGTGGAAGACCCTGTGATGTTCTAGAAGTTGACGAGAATGGGGTTGTGACATAATTAGAGGTGTCAAGGTTCTCGAAGGTCGAAGAACCACCGCCCCTAGATGGAGGTCTCGCTGACCCCACACGAAGAACCGCTGGAGATCTTCATCGGCCGCTCCCAGACGCTCCATGCGGGGCGTATTTTCCATAGTATTCCGTTTGCATATATAGTATATTTACCTGTCACTGTATTGTGTGGGTTTCAGGGATCACTGTAGGCAATATATAGATATATGCTTCAGTCCTGTGGATTATGAATTGTAGCGTTTCAATCCAACCAGCAAGGTAGTCAACGAAGACCTGTTTTCACCTGCCAGGCCTTGTGCAGGCTGGAGGATCGGCAAGCCGAAGAGGCCGGTAAAACCAAGTGAAACCTTGGTCAATGGGAAAGGATGGACGAAGTGGCTCATTTGCAAAACCTTTGTAGATTAATTAAGTATAAATAGATGTCCTACTCAAAAGATCTCAAAAGGACGATGCAGAGAAAGGCTGTATTTATTTTCTGGGGGGACACTGAAGTAATGCTGAGCTGCTGGATCTTAAACATTAAAAAGGCACCTCTTAGCAAACAATTGAGAGAGAGAGAGAGTGAAGAATAGCGTCAATCCCACCAAAACAATAATATATAGTAGTATATATATAGTATATAAAGAGGAGTAGTAGTACAGCAGTAGTAGTAGTAGTAGTAGTAGTAGTAGTAGTAGTAGTAGTAGTAGTAGTAGTAGTAGTAGTAGTAGTAGTAGTAGTA